GTACAATGTCTCCGTACGTTCATGAGATGGGCGTGTCAGGCACCGCACTCGTGGTAGGTAAATGTTCATGATTACTGTCTTGTGGATCATTGTCTGTCACTGTATTATTGTCACTATCAACTTCATCCAATTCAGGAATCATTATTTCATCGCCACTATCATCATCAGAACAAATCTCGTTCACAACATTTTCCAGCTGGTCTGTAGGAACACGAAGATACTTGCTGCAAGAAGCCATGGTGAAACTGAATGAATGTGAAATATTTTCTGACCTTTTCCTTCTCAGAGGGTTCTGACAGTAATATAGACCCCCACAAAGTTTACAAGGGTTCTTTACAAACATGCACAAAAACTATCATATATATGTCTTTGGTTGATGAGTGCCAAGAGAGCAAAGAAGGGAAGAGATTGTCAAAGCGTTAAAACACGCCAATGCCAGGGAACGGCTGGCATCGTCCGGGCATTAAAACACGCCCGCGCTAGTCAAAGAGTTAACAGGACCTGAAACAGCATGGTGTAACTTGGAGAGAGTTACCAAGCAGGCCATCAGTGTCTGGAAGGATTGAGGCCATCAGGAATATACCTGTCTATACCGGGAGAAAAATATACAATGGGCTTCCTTTTGAAACCTTCCATAAAAAGAAATACAGACATGTTAGAGCTGGTTGTTCTAGCAGGTTGTAACAAAACAAAACAAAAAAGTAGCAAAGAAAGAACAACCCATGTAAAAGGTCATGTGGTAACTTATGAATATAACTCCTTGTAAAAGTTTTAGTTTATTTGTTTGTGCTTTTTACAACACTATCTGTATCTCACACTATGTAGCATTGAACAGTAGAATGATTGGTGAATAAAGAATTGGAAAATATTTAGAAAGATGTAGCCATGGCCGACTCGAAGTTGCTGTCCCAGAACATGCCTGGTGGGAGTGAGGAAAACCACATAATACCTTAGTCATGATACCTGGTGTCATGACCAAGATTCAAACTGAGCATTTTGTGAATATAAGTCTAGAGAGCATTATCGCCACACCCGCTTTCTTAGTCTGAAAGTTCTAATGACTGGCTGATACATCCCATTTTCAGACTTAAGAATTTGCATTAACATTTCATTACATCTCAGTTCATTTAAGAGGTATCTTACTGTTGAAAGGGCATACATATGTTTACAAACAGATAAAACTTCTACATGAATAGGTCCTTACCTGCCAGGAAGCCAAGGAAGAACAGTCTGACTCGTGCTATTTGCTTATCAATGTGGCCATCTTTGTCCTGCTCCACATACAACTCGTCCACAGCTGTAATTTGGACCTCCTCTGTTTTATAGTTGAGAGCACGATCTCGATGTACTGACAATCGGAACAATGCTTCTTCTACGCACACACTGAACTGTTTCATGTCCTCATAATTCTGTGACCCAATCTTGAACAACTGAGAGATCTGCAATGTAGATGGTACAATATTTGTGGTTTTCATGGGATAAGAATGTATATTTTGATCTTCTAGATTATGACACCATGAAGGGTTACAGGTGGTTACCAATATTTTAAAGGAGTTGCCTCCGTCTTGAGGCAAGCCTTAACTTGTCAGTTTTGATATTTTCAATATTTGTTTGTAATTATGTTAAGCTGTACTTAAGAGTCTAGACCAAACATAAGATATCTGATTTTTTTCCCAATGAATGTCTTGTAATCTATTTCATGATAGCATCAGTACCTTGGACCACATGGTGTTGAATAGTTGGATAACAGTGAGTAATGAACTTGGAAAGATGTGGATGAAAGTGATTGTGTTCTGGTTTAAGGTGCAATTCTGGAATTAGCCTGGATGGCCTGAGGGAAAATATGGAAATCTTCACTCACTGTCGTTAAGTGTCCCAGTTGAGTTTTCAACTGGGCACCTTTTAAATGCTAACCATAACCATTTCTGCTTGAGTCTACATCCTCAGTATTAGCCTTGAGAAATCTATTATATTTACACAGTGTTTCACTCATTTTTATTTGAAGGCAAACTGCAAGAAAATATTTTAAACATTTGAAATAAAATTGATTCTAACCTGTGGGGCATGTTCCACTGGAAGCCCTAATTTCTTGAGGTCGCTGCCAAACTCTTTGCAGCCCTCATAGTCTCCCTGTATGGCATACTGTGCAAACTTGCTCAGTTTGTTTGTAATGCGTTCTGCCTTTGTAACCTGTCCAGGTCTTACTCCAGGCCGCTCCTTATAAAACACATACTGCAGCTTCACGGTGAATATCTTCCCATATGCATCAAACTGCTGAGCACCTGAAGCATCAATATATTTGCCACAATGATTTTTTTAAGATCCACCCTCTTCGAATAAGGTAAAATCAGGTGTTCAGAATGTGTTCATATTATTCCATCATAGCTGACAAATTTTCTTGAAAATCATCTGCAAAATGATTTGCAATATTGCAACTCTATTTAATAAGAAAATCTCTGCTATGAAATGCTGTTCACTGATTGAAAACATGTCTTTAAAAGCTATATATTTCTGTTTGAAACAGCATTCTATTTACACAATATTTAAAAGCTTATTGAAAACATCTTCATGGTCATTTAGGACCTCAGTATGCGTCTCACTGAGTGTCCCTTCCTCCTCTACAGTTACAGCAAATAGGCTGAGAAGCTTTATAGCCACAAAATGGTCTCCACAATTACCTATGTCTGATACAGAATAACAGGCTTGCAGAGGCAGTTCCTGAAATGGATCCTTGTCTTCCTTTGTGTTGAAGAGCTGAAGCACTGGGTTGTCACCTTGGTACACAAGACGCACAAATACCTTTTTCCAGAACCTGACAACAAAGATTAATGTAAAAGTTACCAACAAAAATTCGTCTAAAACATCTGTGAGAGTATGTCATACCTTGAGCAGGTAACCTAAAAGTCCACTGCATTGAATGAGACCTCTGGTATCAAGATTTTGGTTCCCATCATGTTTTGAAAACATAACATGATAATTTCTCATGATGACATCATCTGTGTCATTAAATGATGGCCATGGTGGTGTGTTCTCAAAATGTCTTAGACACAGTTTACCTTATCTACATATTACAATAGCAGAAACCTCAACAGCACGTTGGTGGCATGTTCCGTTAGTGCTGTGTTTATTCATTTGAGGAGGGGGGACAGAATTATTTTGTAAGTTTCCCGAGATATTTATATAATATTTCTTATAATCGGCCGTATATATGAATAAATTAACCTTATGAATACTAAGAATCAGAAATTTTGTCCTTTGTAAAAACTGGTATATCTGGCATGCATGTGACATCTGTTATCATTTTATATAAATAACATAATGAAGAAATATTTAAAGGATTTTTTTTTCTTTACATTTGAAGTTCTTGGGGGTTTCTGTATTTTAGTTACCAATTAAACAAGAACAGCTCTGACAACCTAATATGGCAGCTTTGCACTGTGGGAATTAAAGCTGGCACATCTATGATTAAAATGTTTCTGCTGATAAATCAATTTTCTAAAAATTTTGTAATGCTCTGGGTATCTTGATCCTTGATGGCTTCGCTTTATCATTATTATTTGGCTTGGGAAAAGGAGCAGAAAATTATTCTTTAATTATATATCAGACAAAATCCAATTAGAAGCCATACTCCCCTTCTTCACTTGATGCATGACAGTTCATGTTGGACCATACAGTAAGTCCTCTGTAGTCTTTTCACCAAAGTAAAGAGTTTTACCCTATATATTTTACTTGAAGTGTCATCTGGAGATCCAATACAACAGACCAATGTAAGAACAAACAGACTGTTGGCTATAATAAATATGAGATCCAGCAATTGCAAAAACTGGACTTGACTTTCATTAGCTTTTAGTGAGTGTGATCACATTCATTACATAAGTTCTTTATTAAGACCATCACAACACAACTATATCAAGGTCAGTGCCTGGTTTTGGCTCTGCTACATGTTTTGGCTATGAATAGCCATCATCAGGCAAATACATGGCTAACATATATGCACTACTGAACTGCAGTATTAATAAAATTGGATACAATAATATTAATTATATTAAAATACTTGATGTAAAAATACAATAAATTTGATTATATAAAACAAAAGTTATAGTATAAAACAAGAATAAAATTCTTCGATTGATGTTTTACATCATTGAGTCAGTCGTTGGTTTTTGTGATTCTGTTTCGTTCCCATGAACAAATTAGAGTATTCTATATTTTGTGTATAAAAACTGTTATTGGAGGTTTGTGATGTAGATGTAGTAATATTAATGTTAATTATTTAGTCAGTGCCTCATCTTACAAAGTATTGTCCGTTCTATAGGGAATGTAAACGACCGATATCAATACGTATACAGAGTGTCCCAGGAGGAATGTGCCAAACTTCGGGAGGGTGTTCCTTATGTTATAGTATGCCGATATAACGCAAAACACCTATATCCAAAGTTGAACGGTTACGGAGATAATGGCCCGAGAAAAGTGTGGTCTTCTGGCGGGGCCACGCACTGTACCTGTCGGCTGGCTACTCTTATCTGTGTTTGTCCTTGAGTGTGGTGATGGCAGCTCACGTTAGCCCCATACACTCGCATACCAGAACGCGCAGTCAGCAATGTTACGTCAGCGCTTGCCATTCATATGTCATGTATAGTGCTTGGTACTCTTAACGACAACTTTGACATGGCGTGCAAGTTTTTTGTAGTTCAATTTAATGGTTTCATGTCACTCACAAGTTAGTTTGATGTTATGTACATTATTAACAATACAGAAACCACATATTCCTGCCAGTTTTAATATGTATTTGGTAATCAACAAGTGTGTAACACCGGTCAAAGTTTCACACTTCTCTGGCCATTATCTCTGCAACCGTTCAACTTTGGACATAGGTGTTTTGGGTTATAAGGGCATACTTTAACATAAGGAACACCCTCCTGAAATTTGGCACGTTCCTCCTGGGACACTCTGTATATAGTAATATTACTACATCTACATCACAAGCCTCCAATAACAGTTTTTATACACAAAATATAGAAGACTCTAATTTGTCCATGGGAACGAAACAGAATCACAAAAACCAACGACTGACTCGATGATGTAAAACATCAATCGAAGAATTTTATTCTTGTTTTATACTATAACTTTTGTTTTTATATAATCTAATTTATTGTATTTTTACATCAAGTATTTTAATATAATTAATATTACTGTATCCAATTTTATTAATACTGCATTTCAATGGTGTATAAATGTTAGCCATGTATTTGCCAGATGATGGCTATTCATAGCCGAAACATGTAGCAGAGCCAAAACCAGGCACTGACCTTGATATAGTTGTGTTGCGACAGTCTTAATAAAGAAGTTATACTATATCATGACACAACAGGATGCAAGAAATGTAAATCACATTCATTACATTTGCCTCCTGTGTTTGTATATGAATTCAAAGATGGAAGTACAACACTGTTAACTAAACCATCAATATACAATTATATATAGTATAAAGGAACAATGCAGGGTAAGAGACCTATGGGAAATGTGGCATTGTGCGGGGTCCCTACTCACACATGTTCTTCAGTTAAACTAATTTCTCTGCTCCCTTTTGAAGAAAACATAGAATAAACAAAGGCACAGCCCAGAATATCAACCTCTGTCCAGTTATCTTCTTTTTATTAGGTTGCCTTAGTTGCATCTCCCAGCCATCCCCTTGGTAACTGATGCGGGGAAATTCCTCTAGGGGTTGTGACACATCTTCATCAAACAGTGGAGTTGGTGGTGTCTCTTGTGAGTCTGTCCTCTGTAGCATTCCATCAGGCACCTCTGCACCTTTGAGACACAAATATTGCAAAGTGTATTTCTACAAATTTATTTTATACACAACTGATTCATGAAAAGCCCTAGGACTTTAACCAAGGGGCTGCAGCCAGTTTGGGAGAGGGGGGGGGGAGGCAGAGAACTGCTTTGCAAACTTATATTTCACTCATTTAGGATTATATTTATAGAACTTTGCTGATAGGATAAATGGAAATTTCAATTTATGGACGTATGTAAAATTAGCTTTAGTATTATGGAATATTGTGACTGAAAATCAGAATTGTCAGATGAAGTTTGGTGGTAGTGTTTTGTGTCAAGTTTCAACAAAATGTGAAACGATTTGTAGGATATATGGAGAAGTCAATTTATGGCCATATGTGAACCAGAGTTTATTAAAGATTGAAGGAAAGGTTTAGCTATTGTGACATGCCGAGGTTCTCACATATGCTAGATAATCGGCTCACAGATTGCTGTGAGGTTGTCAGCCTTGAGCACTCAGGAAGATTCTTAGTATTCATTTCTGTTAAAGTGAAAATCAGAATGCATGCAAATTTTTATGGAAGTTTCTTACATCAATTTTCAACAAAATCTGTGAAATAGTTTATGGAATAGAAGGATACATGTATATTTATGTAAACCAAGTTTTATTATGGATCAATATGGCTGAAAATCAGAATATTCCCAAAACTTTAATGTAAGATTCTCAAAACGCCCAGGCGTTTAGGTATTGATACTTGGTCATAGGCAAATAGATGGACAGACTGACATGACCTCCACATATAGCGTTTTTGTTGTAACTCCACACCTCTGTACATGGTAATTCTAGGATTCTACTGCATTCTGCACCTACCTTGGGGAAGAGCAGGCTCGTCTGTAGCAGCTGGGATAGCAGTGGCTACAAGCTCATTGCTCTTATCAAAGGGATTAAACCTCAGACTGGAATCTGTATTCTGAACAGGGCTCTTTGGTGGAGGTGCAAGAGTAGGCACGGATTCTCCTGACATGTACTCTGTTGCCGCAGTTTCCATATTTTTGGGTCTGGTGACCAAACAGAAAAATGACAAATTCTGGTCAATTGAAAAGTAGAAAGAATATGCGTCTATAAAATTAAACATACTCGTACATTAATATGCTTTTAATCCATTACTGCTGTTGACAGTTATGCAGCAATTATTTCACCTGTGATCATTGTATGAAGATGATGAATGATTCGAGCAGGCCACTGTAATATTCCTGTGTTTTGTTTCTAAAAATTTAACTACTTCATAAATTGAGCATTTAGAGACTTTCATGACATGTAACAAAATAAAAAATATATATTGTTTTCCGTGAAATCCAACAGAGTTTTAAATAAAAGAAATTAACACAGATCTATTTGAAAGATCAACACTATAATTTACAATTTAATTTCATAATGACATTGTACACCAAAATACAAATGGAATGCTATTAGAATAATGGTATTTCAGTATTGACCAAGTACTTAAAATAATGGTAGTTTCTCACTTGATAAATATTGAGAAGTCTGGGCCTTCATCAGAGTCTCCAGACTCCTGATGATTGAAACGTGCTGGTGTTCCTTGGGGCACAGGAGGAGGCTCATTCATTGACAAGAACGTGTCAAAACTCTCTTCTGCCCCAAAACCTATAATCTTGGACTCTCCCTTGTCTGCAGTTACTGCTCCCCATGCTGGAATGAAATATCTCTTCTTGATCACGGGTGTCGCTACAATACTGAGCCTTCTGCTTGTCCTCAAGTTAGGCCCTCACAGGGCTACATCATATTTTTCTAAAGCATTCTGATTGTTGTGACAGATCATATTTCCATCATTTTACTCTCTGATGATTGATACAAAAATACTTTGATGTGTTTTCTTTCCATTTTTATACTGAAATTTTGTACATCTAACATGAGGCTACATGTGGAATACAGTGTTCAAGGATTAGAGAAACCTGGTGCAGATCTAGCAATAATTTTAACTTCAGGTGTGAACGATATTGAAGACTTCTCTAAAAAGGACTTGGTGATTGTGTACTAAGGATGTTAGCAGGAATGAGACTGACAAGGGACTGATCAAAATTAGGAACTTTGTAAACAAGAATACTCACACAAATGTTTTAGTTATGAACCTACCGCACAGGCATGACTTGGAGCAAAAATCATGTGTAAATGATGAGGTGAAAAGGTTTAACAGAAAGTTAAAAAAATTTATGAAGGTTTTCGGAAATTCACGTGTTATTGTGGTGGAATCCGAAAGGGACTTGTTCACTAAACATGGGTTACATAGGAATTCAAGAGGTAAGGAGCAGATAGAAAAAAGAATAGTAAAAGAAATTTTGGATATGTTGAGGAAGAAGAAGTCTGACCCACTAATAATGAAAGGGAAGGATGAACAAGGGATGGAAGAGGAAGGGACTCATATTCCACCGACAAAAGAACCACAAAGATCGGTGAAAGGAAAAAATAAACCTAGGGAAGAAAAGGGCAGGGAAAGAAGTCAAGAAAAGGGTGAATTGTATGAGAAAAGCGAGGGATGGCAAAATAAAATGGTGCAAGACTTGGTTCAATTAAAAAGACCCCATAAATCACCTACAAACAGAAACGAGGATTTTTTATAGATAGCCCCCAACAAGAAATAAAAATAGTGACTAGTGAGGTTGGCAAGAGACAGGTTTCAACATCAAATGGTTTATTAATATTAAACCATAATATTCAGAGTCTGAGAAATAAGTTACTGGAGTTAATTGTTTTATTGAATACAGAGTTTACAGACCTAGATATCCTACGTTTCTCTGAACATTGGCTAAATGATGAACAAATGAGAACATGAGATGGAAAAAATTACAAGAAGACCGTTTTCAGGTTGGAATATAGAAGAATTCAACCATCTACTTCAGATTGAATCCTGGGAAGATGTTCTTTTATATGATGAATTAAATACTTCTTACGATACTTTTTTGAACAGATTTTTGTACTATTTTGAAAGAGCTTTCCCTTTAAAGACAGTTTATAAGAAAAAGTGTAATGAGATTAAATGGTTTACTCAGGAGATAAAGGTTTCAAGACGGAAAATGAGACTTTTAAACACTTTAAAGAAAAATACAATTTTTTCAAACGCTGTATTAGAATACATTAATAGATATCAGAAAATCTATAAAAGGGTTATAAAGGAAGCTAAAAGAAAAGAAAATGATAGGTTTATGTTAAGTTCACATAACAAAACAAAGGCAAATTGGCAAATAATAAATAAAGAAACTGGAAATTCTCGGTAGGGCGACTATAGAGTGGAAGTGAGGAAATATCAAATCCACAAAAAATGGCAGACATGTTGAATTTCTTTTTTATTGAAAGTGTCGAAGATCTTTTAGCGAATAACGTAAACCATTCTCCAGTACAAACCTCACAACAGAGGATTCAATATCAAATGAACACAATGTTTTGGCTCCCTATTACCGAAATTGAAATAGATGGGGTAATAAAAGGTCTAAGTGGTAAACCATCTGCAGGCTTTGAAGAAATTCCAGAATATTTAGCCAAGAGATGTTCACATTACATAAAGAGACCTTTAGTACATATTTTCAACGCCTCTTTAAAATCAGGGGTCTTTCCAGATAAGATGCAAATAGCTAAAGCAAGACCGCTGTATAAAAAATGGGAAAGACAGGAAGTTGGTAATTGCAGGCCAATATCAGTTCTGCTGGTTTTTTCCAGAATACTGGAAAAATTGGTGTATAACAGGTTGATATCCTTTGTAACAAAATATACCACATTAACAGAAGTGTAAAATGGATTTAGGAAAAATAATTTGACAGAAACAGCTTCCCAGACCTTCATTGAGAGTATACAGGAGGCGATGGATAGATGGTTACGCATCATAGGAATATTTTTTGACTTGACAAAGGCATATGATGTGATAGACCACAATGTATTACTAGATAAATTAAATTATTACGGGATCAGAGGGGTTACTAATTTATGGTTTAAATCTTATTTATCTCACTGAGTACAATTTGTTGAAATAAATCACCTGAATAAAAATATCATCCAAAATACATATATATCACCCTTGAGAGAAACAATACATGGGGTAACACAAGGGTCAATTCTGGGACTATTACTGTTTCTTCTGTATATCAAAGATCTCCCACAAGGTGCGGAAATGGTATTGTTTGCAGACGATATTAGTGTACTTGTTATTGATAAAGATAAAGATGTAGCTCAACAGAAAATAAATAAGATCATGAAACAGCTTGAAACATGATTTCAGGTAAATAACCTTTTAATAAATATTAAAAAAACAGCTGCTATGTCATTCTATCTTAGTAAAAATAGGTTTGTAGTTAGGCCGCAGATATTCTATAATAACTTGGAAATTGCTTACTCATCAGAACTGAGATTTTTGGGTATAGATATTATAGAAAACCTTAAATGGATTACCCACATCCAGTCATTATGTAAAAAACTTAGTAAAACATCCTATATAATTAAATCACTAAGAGGAGTTTTGATTCCAAATATGTTAAGAAGGATTTATTTTGGAAAGTTTCAATCGTTATTGAGATATGGAATAATATTTGGGGGGGGGGTGAAGGTGATAGTATAAAGATATTTAAAATGCAGAAGAGGGTGTTGCGAATAATTAGTGGACTTGGTTAACAAGAGTCCTGCAGGGAAATTTTTAAAGATTATGGTATCCTCATGGTCACTTCTTTGTATATCTTAGAGGTGTTATGTTACATAAAAAGCAGAAAGCAGATCTGACCCAAAATATAAATATTCATAGTTATAATACAAGAATAAACAAGGATTTTCATGTTCAGTTCTGCAGAACTATATTATTTAAAAAAAGTGTGGTAAATATGGGGTTAGAATTGTGTAGTAAGGTGCCAAACAAAATAAAAAACTTGGTGGGTTTTTCAGTTTTTAAAAGAGACTCAAAATCATTTTTACTGAAACATTCTTTTTATACAATAAATGAATTTGTTAGTTTTAATAAAAAAGTGGATGGTGCAAGTGCTTAGGTTTGGATGTCATAGCCATTCATGAGCTGTATATAGTAGTTTGTATATTTTTTGGAATGTTGTATTTATATATTGCTTACGATTGTAACAAATTTAGGTAGTATGCTTGTAACTTTTTAGATTTATTTTGTTAACTTGTTTTACCGAATGACGTGTTCAAGTGTTACTATGTAGCAAAACGGATTAAATAAAATACAATAGAATATATACTAAAATAGCTTCTTCCCATAACTTCAAATTAATATGTTCGTCCAATATCCTGTTATAGAATACATAAATATAAAAATAAAATAATCAAAACTATAATTTTGCTTGTTGATTTGTCCGGGTATGAATCATGGTCTCTGCTAAGGAAAATGCATGCATTAATGATGTTTGAGAACAGGGCGCAGAGGAAAATATTTTGAGCCAAGCAGAATGAAGTAATAGGAACCTGGAGGATATTCCATAATGAGAAGCTTCATTACTTGTATTCTTCATCAAATGTAATTAGAATGATCTAGTCAAGGAGGGTGAGATGAGCTTGGCATGTAGTACAAATTGGGACGAGAGGAATGCATACAGCATATTGATGGAAAACCAGAAGGAAAGAGACCACTAGGAATAGCAAGGTGTTCATGGGAGGATAATATTAAAACGGGTCTTAGAGAGATAGGATGGAGTGGTATGGACTGGATAGGAACCAGTGGGGGGATCTTTTGAACACGGTAAAGAACTTTCATGTTCTACATAATGTCGGGAAATTCTTGAGTAACTGAGTGACTGTTTGTTTCTCAATAAGGACTTGGCTCCATGGAGTTAGTTAGTTTAATGTTTCCTTATTTTAAGCTGCCTGTCCATGCTAATTCTTGTGCATGCTTGTACCCCTTCATATGTCATGGTGGTAGACTTCTTTCCCTCACAACATAAAATCACAAAACGCCTTCGTGTTACTTCTTGAGGCAGAGTTTTCCCAGATGAGAGGTGGAAGTTTTGGGCTACATGTTTAACACAATCATACATTCAAGTAGCCTTTACTGTAATGGTGCCTGCATGAGGGCCAAAGATTGATAGCGCTTCTAGTGGTGGCTGGGACAACTACCGTGTTGTGGGTGAACAGATGCATATCACAAATTTGTTTTGAATAATTTTATACAAATGGTAAATTGTCTTTGATATGTTTGCTATTTGGATGAGAATTCTAGCGCTTGGATATCAGACAACTGCAGGTTTACTGTACTCATATGCAGAATCTCTTATATGATTCTGATGACAGAGTGGAAGAGGAAAAATGGCGGGGTTGTGATCCAGTATAATGAATGAGAAGTTGAAATGAGTAGCTACAATAATAAAAGATGGATATGCTTGTAAGTGGAACGAAATGGGGTTTAAGATATTTGTAGTTGGTTACACATCAAGGGAGAGAGGGAGAGAGAGAGAGAGAGAGAGAGATAAATGACTTACCATCATTTCCTGTATCTGTTACCAGTCCAGAAGAAGCAAATGGGTCAAAGGGGTCACCTTCCACAACACGAACATCTTGCCCCTCCTCTTTGGCAGCGTTTTCAAACTTGGCTGCAAAAGCATCAAATTCATCAGCAGACTTGAGTACTGGAGCCTCAGCAGCCTCTAGCATATCTGTAGACATGAAATTGTCGGATTGTTGTTGTTGTTGTTGTTGTTGTTGCTGCTGCTGATGTTGTTGCGGTGCGGGACTTACTGCTGGCTCCAAGTCCATTGCAGTAGCAGCTAGCAGGTTCACCTCTTTTGAGTCTGCAGGTAACGTACCCCCAAAGTCATCTCCTAGTAGAAGATCAGCTGTTCCACTCATCTCACTTGTGGGCACTGCAGGAACAGACGAATCGAACAAACCTAGTATATCAGCATTTGTCTGTGGTACTGCTGTTACTGTACTGGGCTCTGGTGCATTACCACTGAAAATATCCATGATATCTTCTTGAGATTCAGCAGGCTTCTGAGAAGGTGGTGCCGGTCTGGGTGGTGGTTTTGGAACTGAGGGAGCTGCAGCGATCGACTCATCCCCGAGGAGATTGAGCTCTGTATTGCTAGGAAATGCAGGAAGTTGCCCTGCTATTGTCATATCTGAGCCAAGAAGGTCCGAGAAAGGGATATCTGGAGTAGGACTTGGAGAATGTAGGTCACGGATGGGAGTGGGGCTCGGCGTCCTCGTGGCTTGGAGCCGATCCAGAAGGTGTGAGGACGTGGCTTCCATGGCCCCAGTAACACTCAGTATAAGGTCTTTCGTTTCTTTCGAGGGAGGGACAGGCCTTGGAGGAGGAGGTCTTCTAGGAGGACCTCCTTTTGGCGTGCTGGTTCTGGAGGAATCATCCACTGCTTGGTTTGGGGTGCTGTTAAATACATCAGTCTCCTTACAAAAGTCAGATTCTACCGGGGCATTTACCCCTATGTCATCCAACAAGTCAATCCCTCCTGGAACTCTGGATTCTATTTTGGGTTGTGAAGGTGCAATACTTTCAAAGAAGTCAGATGGCGGGTTTGTTACATCAGCAGCGAAGATGTTAGCATGGGTGGCATCTGGTTCAGGTGTTCCAAAGAAGTTGAGGCTGGCTGTTGTATTCATATCACCACTTCCAGAGTAATCAAACTGTGCAAAAGGATTCGTGGAGGAGTTCCCTGAAGAGAGGAATGAGGACGGTTCACTTCCTATGGAACTTAGGAAGGGGTTCTCAGAAGATGCAGGAATAATGAAGTCATTGTTACTCAAGAAGGGGTTGGAACTTAGTCCACCACCTCCTCCACCGCCACCACCAACTGAATCAGTGTTTCCACCATAGTCACCTAGATCCTCCATTAGGAAGGGATTGCCACCCTTACCAGCTGTTTCAAAATCCATGTCTATGTAGTATGTTATTGAACACACTATTATATAGGTAAAGGTAAATTTGTCCCTGTGCTTAACTAATTAAGCTCTACGCCATGAAGTGGCATCGCACGACAATACTGTACGTCACTGAAATACTGTTAAAGAAATAAGAATACACGGCCCTAACATATATGTTGGTTTCACTTTATTGTCCAATTAGCTCTGATTCGAGAAGCCTTAGTTCAGCTTTGCCCGGAACTAGGTCACTGGCAATAGATGTATCAAAAGGATCAATGTCATTGGCAATGCTATCATCCAAAGGATTTTTTGAGTTCTCTATCACAGGTGTCAGGGTCTTCGTGTCAGGGGCCACCTCAGCGGGCAAGTTCAGGAGGTCAGGTTTTTCTGTCGGGCGTTCCGACTCTGACTGTGTAACTTTTATTGTATCTTCGGCCCGGGGGTTAAAATCTGGGTCAGTGTAACTCCTTTTGATTGACGACAATAGCTCACTTTCTAACACTTTTAGTTCAGCACGGCCGGGAAGCAAATTGTTCGCGATCGACGTATCAAAAGGGTTTGTGTACTCTAGCTTGATCTCAACAGCAGGCGTCAATGGCTTTGTGGCCACTGGCGCATTCTCCTCGACGAAGAGAAGATCTGGTTTCGAGGCTGGAGTCGGCACTGCGGGTATTTCCTGTAGAGGCACAGGAGTCACAGTAACACCCCTTATAGCAAGGGTGCGAGGAGGTGCTCTCCGCCGGTCCCCTGAAAAGTCAGAAAATCTGCGGCCTAAGTTAGCTGCCACCTCAGTTGTAACATTGGATGTAGCCTCCTCTTGACTCCGTGGATTGAACTCCTGGTCTGAGAGACTGTGTTTTAGGCCTTCTGGTTCCCCTACTAATTCACTTTCTATTATTTTCAACTCTGCTTTTCCGGGCGCCAGTTTCTCAACAAATGAGGTGTCAAATGGATCTGCGTCATCTACCGCTCCATTCTGTGTCGCAAATATATCGGCTGGCTTCGCGTTAACGTAGTAAGGTGTGAGAGGTTTGGAGATTCGTGCGCCCTCTTCAGATCCAACAACGAGCAAGTCAGGTCGAGCTGATGGGGTGGGAACGTCAAATGCGACAACCTTAGCAACTCCTGCCTTTACGTTCACTAAGTCAGGAATGTCTATTTCAGGCTCGTCTGTTTTCAATATTTCTGGCTCTTCAGCACGTGGGTTGAAATCCGGGTCACTGATACTTCTTTTTAGCGTTATCTCAGTCTCACCTAGTAGCTCTTTCTCCAAACATTTTAGCTCCGCCTTCCCTGGGGCTGCAAGTACTTCAACTACAGATGTGTCAAATGGGTCAGTTTCAGTTTCGGTCACTTTCTCCTGTTCAGCTGGTTGGATGGGGTCGTGTCCTAGTTTCGAAAGATCTGTGGTACTTCCTCCTAGAAGGTCGCGGTGTCCAAGTGTCAGGGATCTTAAGCCTGTTTCCTCATCTTCTCGATCCTGACCAGTAGGATCTGTAATCTGGATGCTGACTGTGGATACAACTGTTTCGTCCTCCCTGGGATTGAAGTCGAAGTCGCTGTCGCTTCGAGATAAGATCCTCGCTTCGTTGATCTCAAGGTCACTGCAACACAGAATCTCGTTCTCTATCAGCTTCAGTTCTGCTTTCCCAGGCAGAATATTCTCCGCGAACGAGGTATCGAAAGGATCTAGTTGCGTAATATCTAGATCTTCAGCTAGCGCAAGGATTGCACTGTCCGAGAATTCCTGATCGTAGAGAGGTGTGATCCTCTGAGGTGGCACAGGGCAAGGTGGAAGGGATTGGGTGGGATTGTAGCTTTCCTCTCCCTCTTCCTCAAATTCAGCCCACTGACGTTTTGGCTGTGGTTCACTGGCTAGAACGATATCAACGTCTGGAGATATCGGGAATGGTGAACCTTTTTTCTGAGATGGAAAACTGAGGGTGTCAGGGTTAAAATCTCTTTCAATATCAAATTGGTCTGGTTCAGATTGTTGTTCACCGAGGACGGCAGCAGCAGCAGCTGTATCAAATGGATCTTTCTCGTTGACGTCTTCGTTCTCCTGTGAGTTTTGTGGTTTTTTGGAGATGGACTCTGCTGCTAGGGCAGCAAATTCGTCCTCAAGGTCGTCGTCCACTTCACCTAAAATGGGCACCTCTTTTACAGTGCTTGGAGTTGCGTCTGTTTCCCCACCAGATATTAAATCAAACTCTGCGACCAAATTCTTTAAATCAACAACCTCCTCTGCGTTGTTCTCTTTATTTTCTCCGTCTTCTTTTACACCAGAATTTGTGGCTTGAAATGTAATATCTTCTAAAGGAACAACTGGAACGCTGACCTCGGTATCGTCATCTAGGAGGCTCCTACAAGGTTCTGGAGCTTCATCAAGGAGATTCTGCTCTGTGTTGTCATGTCGCCAGCTCTGGGAGTCTTCCTGGCCCCCTTCTGCTACCTCTGGAACGTTATCGGCAAGTAAAAGATCTACGTCCTGTGGACGCCTCGGAACCACTCGTCGCTTCTTTCCAGCTGCTGTTGGAGCGGTTTCGAGTCTTCCTGTTAAAACTTCGACTGCACAGCCCAAGCTGACTAGTTTCTTCTTGTTCTTTGTACGCTCTTCCTCCTCTTTGATGATTTTCTCAGCGATTGATGTGTCAAATGGGTCGAAGCCTTCGTCCTCCTGAACGGGACTGTCTGGAATATATGCGAGCTTTACTACGTCTACGTACGAAGTATCGAAGATGTCATCAACTTCGTCTTCTTCCTCCTCCTCTTCCTCGTCCTCAGTAGTTGTGGCAGCTGCTGGTTCAGCACCTAGCAGTTCATCTACCGAGACAGGTGCAGCTGTTTCATCTTTCTCAGTGGGCTGTTCTTCAGATTCTTCGGGTGCTGGAGCGTCGATGCCCAAAGATCCTTCTTCGAAGCCCACCCAGCCCTTAGATTTTTTCTTCTGTGAGGCAGCTGGAATGGACTTCGGCGCCTCTGTTGAATCGACTGCCTTACCTGGACTTCCTTCAGAAGCAGGTGGACCAGGCGGTTTCCTGCAACATATACAAATTTTAAAATTTATATTTGTAATGTTATAGCCAGAAACATTATATTTCAGGGTCATATCGTGTGTGTCTGGAGAGAATTCAGGTAAATATAAACAAGTCAAATGCCTGATGATGGCTTAATGAACGGAAACATGTTGTAAGAAATGACGTATGTATAGTGTATCTGTATTTTCTGTTGTGGTGACGGAATAAATTAAAGACATTTTTGCTTAAAGTACAGACTGCAAAAGAGAATTTTAACACTCGTGATGGATTTCTACAGTCCAAAATTTATTATAATTACCTAAATGTTACAGCGTAGTTTGTTGAAGGACAATGCTACGATCCGTAAGATCGCGGGTTCGATTCCCGATGAGGTCATTGGATTTTTCAATTGACCTAATCCTTCCAGCCGCACTATGGTCGTGAGGTTGACTTAGCCCCTAACAGAAACGATTACCAGGAATCTTCCTGGGTGTAAAGAGTGGCCGGCGCGTAAGACTGACAACCTTACCGCCATCTGTGAGCTGATTGACGTTTCACAGTTCTGTGGGCCTCCAGGGCCTGTTAACATGGATAGCTTTACCTTTTTCTTTACCCTTTTATAATGTCATACCACCAGAGGGTCTTGATAGTTTTATTACGACCATGTAGGAGGCACAATAAATTGATTACGTACAACAGTGAGTTTTGAAACATTTCGAATATTTATGTATTAGTAAACTCTATTTGCATGTTCTCGTATTCATGACAGTGTATGCCTAAATACTTAATGTGGTTTTATCATGATCACGATTTTCTAATTTAGTTTCTTTCGAAAACATCTTACAAAGTAAAACGCCACATTTTATGAACTTTTGTCTCTGCTTATATCTTCCTCTGGAGGCAAGAATTTTTACTTCTCCATGTCTTCCGGACCGGCTCTGGGGCCCACCCAGCTTCTTATCAAATGGGTACCGGGAGCGGGGCTTAAGGCTGACCACTCACCTCCAACTAGTGCCGAGATCAATAAAATGTGGATCCTTACATCTACTCCCCCATACACCTTCATGGAATAATGTTTAATTAGTTAAGCACAGGGATAACTTTATCTTTACTGTCCCCTTGGCACTACAGCCCCAGTGGGCCTAGGCCTACCTCCATGAACTTCTCCGTTCACTTCGGTTTTTCTAGATCTTACACATTCGGTAGGACTCCTTGGGCGGGTCATCAGCTCGTCGCAAGGCCTCTACCTGTACACAAACACAGAAAAACACACACACAAACTAAACATCCATGCCCTGAGTGGGATTCGAACCCACGATCCCGGTTTCCAAGCGAGCAAAGACAGTACATGCCTTAGACCGCTCGGCTACCGTGACCGGCTAACTTTGCCTTTACCTTACTTTCTTATATCCTCATCTGTCATTCAAGACTGGTACAACAGGCCCATTTCAGACCACATTACTAAGGGATTCAGCCTCACCAAGCTTCAAGAATAGAAAGAAAGAAAAATTGGAAAATATGTAAGAGTATAGTCAGACCAGTGTTGTGTGTAAATATGTGTAGGTATACATCTTTCTGTTTTGGGGAGACTGCAGAAATTGTTTTGAATTTAGTACTTCACGTGAATGAGAAATATTACTGGTGGAAATCCTAGATTGTGAAGGGGAGAAAACAGTCATGAATTCTTATATGGTTAATATAACTTCAAACTAAAGTGATATATGGACGACTGTAGTAAAGAGTTCGCATAAGTAACTTGGACGAAGTAGAAGTTTCGACATGAGTAAAGAGGTAATTAATTTCATATTATTTCCTTGATATCCAAGAACGTTTGAATGAAAAGAAACATTCTCAAATCTTCAACACGTTTATTAGAAATATTATGACTGTTTATGAAGGAACACAATGACTAAGAAAGAGCACTGACTCAAATAATTTATGTATTGCGAAATGTTATCAAATGCATCAAGTTTCGATAGATGTCTGCCCAGTAAAGAGACCTCTCACCTCTGGAAGTAGCTGCTTGACTTGATGCGGTCGAGGTCCCCCTGAGTTCTCTTTAGGACACTGTCTACACCTGCGGTGAGAGCCTTGAAGCGTTTCCACTCTTCGTTGTCGGAGGAGCCTGCCCCCTGCTCGACCTGTTCCTCCTGTTGACCTCCTTCGGACTCCTGTTGATGTGCTCTCCTGTATTTCTCAAGTTCAACCTCGTCAAAGAGGTCGTCCTCTTTCTTGTGCTTCTTGGTCTTCTTCTTCTTTTTCAAACCCTTAGTTATCTTGTGCATATTCCACTACCACCTCATGTGGTTCCCTGAAATCAGAAAAATTTCACTTTACATCAGCTGTTCTGTACCGGTGGAACCTGGCGTCCAGGGCTCGCATGAATGTTTCTCCTGAAATTAAAACACATTGAGGTTCAATGACATTGCGGCTGCTGCCGTGTTCGCACAACTTCTTTTGACCAAAAAGATTCACGGACAGTTGCAAAATCGTTACACGAAACGAAATAATGAATCACCATGGTATAAATTTGGGAATAACTGTTTTAAATTCGTCAGTGAGTGGAAAAGGTAAAAGGGAAAACTGTTTTTTATTAAGAACTACGCCATGAGGATATACACGGCAATGGACGTTTATCTCCATAAATTCTTAACCTCAGCACTAGATGGAAGAGTCTGGTCAGCTTCACGCCAGCTTTAATCAAGGGGAAATGTCCCAAGGTAGCAACTGGGTAGGACTACATATGAATTTTGCTTTTCTTGTCAAACATAACAATATGCCAAACAACTCGCTCACATTTCACTGTGCGTGACTAAGTTTATTAGTCGTACAACGTCGCAGCATGTTCCGGCTCATGGACCATTGTCAGGCGATATATTAACAAACTTTATACTATAGAATTATGCCTCCTATATGGATCCATATATTGTACTTATCACTGTTTGTTACAATAAACCGAATTATATGGTGTGCTTCCTTCTCTTTCTATAATCACATTTGTATGCACAGATTAAGTGATTATGTTTTCATACTGCTTTAAAAATACATTAAACAAGTATTTAAAATTATCAAGAGTCTTAAACCACTAAGAAATATTATTAAAATGTTGAACCAATGAAAATGCCATATTCTAAATATTCTTAGTGGTTGCACGTAAGACGGTGAATCAGTGACATTTTTTTAATAATCACTAGCGAAACTTACGTAGATTCCAAGCGTAGAAATATTTGCGAAAACAAATCAAGTTGAATGTATGCAGACACCAACGTTCTTCCACAGTGAAGGCCAATTTCGAATCCGAAATATTCCTAAGACAAATACAAATCTCTATACTGAATTTCAGGTTATCGTAGCTGTAACTATGAAGAGTGTTATCTTCTGGAATGTGACGCCGTGTAGTTGGGAGAAGTCCTTCGAGACATCAGAGGAACATACTGCCTACTTCTTCGGGGTCGAAGAGTAAGCTGCAAGAAACATTCGGCAAGCAAAGTGCTAGCCTAGCTTACTATTCAACTTTTAGGATGGAGGAGACACGTTCCTCCGAAACATCGTTGGTCCTCTACCGCACTACACTGTGTCACATTCCAGAAGATATACATACATATATTCATGTTGATTTTCATAACTACCTCACGAAAAACACTGCTCGTCAGTTCACAAACTCTAACTAACCTATAACAGCTTTGTGTCATGCAAGATGTGGAAAGAGCCCCTTGACCGTCGGCTCTCAGGTGACGCTACACCTGTAGAAAAACACGGTATTATCTCTCAATTAGGGCATGAGGGACATAAGTCAAAATTATTTCAGAACGTAGATATTGCTCAATTTATAATTTATAATTACAATTACGTATTATATATAAGAATATTTCAGAACACTGAGATTCTGGAGTGTGGCACCATGTAGTCTGGTATAAGTTAACCGACGTTTCGGTCGAAGGTACTGCTTCCATTTTCAGGGTTAAGGAGTAAGACAATTATGCAAGCAGGTATAAGCCCCTCTGAGACATACATGATTAAAAAGCAATATTTCGTAGCTTTATATTCATATAACAGTAGATATAATTAAATGTTCACTCATACCCTTAAATTGAATTACAGAAAATTAAGTTGAGGTTTGACGCTTTCAGAGCGGTGACTATGAAGACCTCTGTATTCTGGGATGAGGCGGTTTAATCTGGTAGATATTTACCAATGTTTCGGACAAACCTATGGTTTGTACTTCCTACCCTGAAGATGGAGGCAGCAGGTTCCTCTGTAACGTTGGTAAATATCTAGCAGCCTACATGGCGTCACATCCCAGAAGATTGTGATCTTCGTTCATTACAGTGTTCACAACAGCCAGCTTAATATAAGTAGAGGTAAAATAAAAGACAAATGTCTTTTGTGCTTAATTAAATAAGTATGAAGACGTATTGGGGAGCGTAGGTATAGAACCACATTTCTTAACCTCAATCCTTGATGTATTTGCATGGTCAGCTCCACGCTCCGGCTGTTTTATCCCCCGGAGAGTTGAGTATATACAACTCTTCTTAAAAGAAACATGATTGCTTTTACTCTGATACTCGATTTTACCTTCAGGATCGAAACTCCGATATATGTGCGATTTTTGACCATCTTGTAAGAATGAATAGATTGTTTTTCGATACGCATACCTACACAGGGAAGACTGTATATATTGTGGCATGCAGACCCAATGCCAAACAACAGTTGTGTAAACAGGCGACACTATGACAGTCGTTGCTAGGGAACAGCTATGGGAACACGTTTCCCGGGCAATAATGGAAGAGGCGTTTTCTGTTATGTTCAGTAAAAAGCTATATATCGAGGACCAGCTTCAATTACGAGAGAGTCTTTAGATAGTAGAATTACAAGAGTAGGAGATCGGTGTGAAATGGCGGCCAGTCTGCGGGGACGTGAGCCTGGGAACAGAGGAACGTCCACTGTTGGAAGATGTTAAAGCAGAGCAGTGCAGACCGTGACCGGGAACACTAGTCTGTGTGCGTGATAGTGATTTGTAAAGTGTAGTCACGAGTGTCCAATAAATCCGATTTAACAATCCAAACTCTGTCTATAGTCACTCGATCACGTGACAATATGAAGTCAGGATATCTCAGTCGATATAGCAACAGAATACGGGTTGGATGGCCGTGGAATCGTGGTTCGATCCTGGCAGTAGCAAGAGGCTTTTATCCAAGGCGTTCAGACCTGCCCTGGGGCCCATCCATCCTCATTTCCTTTCACCCTTCCCGGAGGATAAAGCTACCGGGGCGTGTAGCTGACCACTCACCTCCATCGATGTCGAGGTTAACAACATATGGAGCTCCATTCTCCCATGCGTCTTCATTGCGTTGTGCTTAATTAATTAAGCAAAGGGACATTTTTACTTTAACCATTTACCTGTATATGAATGGACATAAGAAACGTATACAAACAATTCTGCCGCAATTTTCTTTGACTTCCCTGCGTTCGATAAAGTGGCTCTGGCATTCATGTGACTAGCACCATCTTTTGAGAGAGTATAACACTACTCACTCTATATTATATTTCGGTTCAACTTCGAAAATATCCATAGATAACCTCTGTTAAAATATGTATACCTTTATTGGCCCCCTCATATTTTTTTCCCATCTGTAAATATGAGTGTGTGTAGACATGTATATACATATGTACTAGTATGCATATCTAGACATGGATAATACATTAAACCAATGGATACAAATCTGTAATCCACTCTCCTTTTGGCATGTATTATAATGTCATACAGTTTCGATTAAATACTAATGCTTAAATATCAGCTCGTGTGGATTCGAATTATAGGAGCGTAGGAGTAGGCACAGAGGAATCTGTAACGGGAACTGTGCTATTCAAACATACAGCGATTCTTGTCCTTGTGATGTGCAGATAATCTTTAACGGAACACATCGAGATTTATCGACTTGCAGCGACTTACTCCGCTTATGCACACATCAGACAGCTATTGGACCAGCTTTTCAATATAGGATTAGCATGCTGTCATGCCATCGTACGCGTGATTGTCTCTCTCCTGCAATGTTGACCTTATGAAATATTTTTAAATGACAGTAAACACTCAAAGCATTCTGATATGTTGGGTTTTTGGACTTTATCCATCGTCCTGGTTTTTAAGATAACAAATAAAAACACGACGTTTCGGAAACTGGATCTGTTTCCGTCCTGAGGTGAAGGAAAACACCTATTCAGTTGGGTCCGTTAGAAAGAGCTAGCCTCAATCACTGGACGCGATCCAGTTTCCGAAACGTCGTGTTTTTATTTATCTTAAAAAAACAGGACGATGGATAAAGTCTCAGATCCAGTTTCCGAAACGTCGTGTTTTTATTTGTTATCTTAAAAAAACCAGGACGATGGATAAAGTCCAAAAACCCAACATATCAGTGTGTTACACACCATCGTCAGAATCCTACAGTAACTACTCAAAGCATTTTTAAACGCTCCTGATATGACGATCATTTGAGGTTATCACGGCGGTCACTATGAACAGTGTGTGATGCCGTATAGTCTTGTACAAATTTACTCACTTTTCGGAGGGCCGTAATGCCTCCATACACGGAGCGGAACGGCAAGCCAAGCAACTTGCCTATGTGTTGGTGATGAAATATAATTTTCTTATTTCCCCACGCATTCCCCAAAATTAAATAGGCTTATTAGATACTGTGCTTGACGCAGATATTCGTGACTTTAAGCACGCTCACAACTATATATGCCACCCACTTTAATACAAAAAAAAATCTACATTTTGCGCATAGAGTGTACTTAGTATCAGGCATGATTGTCGCAATAAAAGTAAAGTTATCCCTGTAACAGGCCATGAAGGCCCACAGGGTTGTAAGACGTCGAGGCTCCCACATTTTCTTTAGACAATCGGCTCACAGATGGCGGTAAGGTTGTCAGCCCTACATACCGGCAGCCCTTTACCCCTCCGCCAGGAAGATTGCTGGTACTCATTTCTGCTAGAGGTTGAATCGAACCCACGGCCATAGTGCGGCTGGAAGGATTAGGTAAGCTGAAAAAGTCCACCTCATCAGGACTCGAACCCGCGACCTTACGGCTTGTAGCATAGTGGCTTAACCAACCACGCTACCGCATGCCCCATAATTGCCACAATAAACAGAGATAATTTTCCAAACAGCTTTTGGAGTTTGGTCATTATATGGTAGATGCAATGTGTTTCCTGTGAGATATAAATGATTTTGAAAATATTATTTATATGTTCTTATTTCTCTACCAATTGGATCAAGGTTTCAAATCTTCATTCAGAGTTATCCTACCATTTGATGTTATATGGTCTCCATACTGACAGCGTCATCCTGACTCCTTTCAAACTGACTTTCTGCAAAAGATATTTGTGTCAACACTACTGCCTGCGGGAGAAACGCCTGATGAAATCATAAATACTAACACGCATGACTGACGCGTCAGAGAAGTTGCCGATATGGCAGGCACTGTCAGTTGTCCAGGAAACAAACTGTGTCGGTGAAGACTGGATTTGTGTTTCTCACGTCGATGACTATAAATATGTTATCTGCAAGGATGTAACGCCGTGCAGTGCGATAGACGTTCACGAACGTTTCGAACGTATGTACTACCTTCAGTTTCAGGTCAGAAGGGGAAACCAAACAATCAACCAACAAGCAGAATGATTTACTTTTAATTTTATTATAGAGCAGGGAAAAAAAAGTAAGTTAGTTTGTTAGTCTTCAAATTAATATATTCGACTCTGTTGGTTTCCACATATAACTAGACGAAGAATTGCAGCCAATATCTTGTTTTCACGGTTATGCTGAACAATGTATCGCATTGACGAGGGGGAGCCAATTTTGACGGCGGCATCGTTTTAAGCATTGAGGTCGACTTCAATTTTATGTGGATCTTGTCGGTCTATCTTATTCTAAAACGTATGCAGCAAGGGATTACTCGATTTTGAGATGTCTATGTCGTCATGGGCGTCATTCACCTGGTGGTCTATGACATCCGTTCATCTTAGGAGCATTTCTTCATCAGCATGTTAAGCTTCATTTACTGCCTACGTATGGCTTGTGGTAATTTACACTGAATTGGCTTATATAGATTCTTTCTGAGTATTAGGTGCTCTAGGGTTACGTTAAGATTATATCTTGTTGTGCGGGGATGTGTTTCTTTAAACTACACTGAAGAATAACACGAGGAAAGAAACAAGTTGTAAAGTTTATAAAGTAGCAGCATTATGAACATTGCTGCAAGGTGAACGATGAAGCTATCCGTGTAACAGGCAATGGAGGCCCATAGATTG